CCACTACCTTATAGTGGGTTGGCTAGGACTCAACACATATTACCGGTTCTAGTAGTCTTCCTTGCATAGCTTTAACAACAAATTGTGAAGCCTTAAATCATTCTTTTCACGTTTATTCCATTATTTCTTCACATGAGTTCTCTAACAATGAGGTTTATTTGCTATTTCTCTTTTTCTTTTTTGTCTCTTCTATCTCTCCTCTTCTTCTTTTTTTCGGATGAATTTTCTTTTGGGCGTAGGGATTTTGCCATTCATTTTGTTTCAGTTTTGGGGAAAAAAAGAAGCAAAACAGCATCGTTTTGCTGCGCCTGGGGAACAAATATAAGCAATCTAGTATATCCCGTCAAACCAACGAGTTACACCAATTTTCACTAGGTTAACTCAGTTTAAGACAAGTTGCACCAAGCTGATCATCCCCCGATTTAGGATCTATTTGGAATAGCTGTGAAAATCTCTTATAAACAAGTTTTATATAAACTGAGACAAAACTCTTCTCATATACTTGTCTCATATTCCGTAAATCATCATTGAAAAGCTACTTATAAGCTGTTCTAAACAAGCTCTTAGTAAATGAACCAGACTGGATTACTGATCAAGTTCACTGGTTTCCAATTCCAACCGGCTGATCTGGTTTTTTGTACTATGATATGAGACCGTGGATGCATCCTAGTATTGCTAATGGCTACTGCATAATGGAAATTAGAGAGGCAAAAACTGTAAACTCAATTGATGGAGACAACATTGTCTATCCCCATGAGAGCAATTTTGCAGCAATCTATTATGCATCATAAAAATAATAAAAGGAATGCAAGTAAATAATGAGAAAACACAGCAATTTCTAGCAACCATTCGCCCAAAGACCACAAATCACAACAGTAAGGGTTTTTCTAAGCTGGAGAAGAGGGAACGACCAAATGAAGAAAGAGGGAGAAAAGAGATGTGCCAAGTAAGAAGAGAATGGGATGGGGGCGGAAAAAAGGAGCAGCAATGGGACTAGATGGCAGGCAAAGAATGAGACATCGCAAGGGTGACCCCAAGTCTCCTCCTGTTCCTTCCCCCATTTGTTTCCTGTCCCGATCTTTTCTAGGACGGGTCCATCCAGTCCTGAGATGATCAGGACAGGGATGGGTACAAGATGCCCATCCCTAAAATAAAGTTAAATAATAAAAATTTTGAAAATTAATAACTTATATTAATTAGAATGCCATGTTGTATTATACGTTATGCATCTACGTCTTAAACTGTTAATATTATGCTTTGTTATTTTGAAAAATTTAATCTTTTGATCCTTACAGTTTTAACTTGTTTATAACTCAGTTTTCATATTTTGACTTGGTGTAACTCAATTCTTATAGTTTTTATTCTGTTGTAATTCAGTCCCTGAATTTTGACTTATTACGACTTAGTTTTTATAATTTTAATCATTTTATAATTTAGTTCCTTCTTTTATTAGATATATATAATTTCTTTTTTCTAAAACATAGGGACTAAATTATAAAATGGTTAAAATTATAAAAACCAAGTTGTAGTGAGTCAAAGTTTAAGCATCGAGTTACAATTGAGTCAAAACATTAGGGATTGAGTTATATCAAGTCAAAATATAGGAAATGAGTTACAAATGAGTCAAAATTATATATAAAAAAAGATTAATTTTCCCTTGTTTTTTTGTGAATAACTTTCCTTTGCTTTTTTTTTTTATAACAAAAAGAGATACCACCTAGCATATGAAACCCAATAAAATAAATTAGTTTTAAAAAACCAATAATAAGAACCATCTAGCCTAAAATTTGTGAAGTTCCAACAAAAATTATATAAATGATAGTTGATGATTGATTATATATACCAGTTACATGGACAAATTTTCAGATGAAAAATCATATTAACAAATAAATTATTTATACTATGTTCCATTTTTTATAAGATCTTGCTAACTACTTTTTTTTTTAGATTGAAAAATAACTAAAATTGGTAAAATGTTAAAAAGATCTATGCAACTTTCCAAACTTACCATATGATTGTTATCATCCCTTTCGCAAATACTAAAAAGGAAGTTAAATTAGTTTCTTTAATAAACACATTTATGTGTTTCTTTTCAAATACCCCTCATTTATTGGACTATTTACTTCCATTGATTTTCATTTAACAAGAAAATGGCGCATTACATGGGGGTACTTTGATTAAAAAAAAGAATTTAGTAATTTATATGGTACACAAAAGTGATAAAGCTTTATATTAAGGATCAAATCAAAATCATTAAAAAGATTCTATTTTTAGGATAGGAGGGAATAGCAAGCAGTTTATTATTAAGAGAGATAGAAATACCGTTAATTAAGATTTAAGATTTAAAAATGAGCTGTCCATACTAATGAATCCTAGCTATCCTCTTAATATTCTACGGGACGGACCATTATTTTGCATTATATCAATGCGTAAAAAGAATGTCTGTTGTCATATATAGGTGTGCTTTCATAATCAACATATACAACATTTTATAAGAAAAAGGTTAAATTAGGGTGATTCCTCCTTTACTTTCAAGTGTCTGAGAGTTAGTCTTCGATGGATGAGCCAGTCACCTTTGTTTGATAATGAAACCTTTGATCTATGGGTTTAAAAAAACAGATTTTTTTTTTCCTTGCAAATTCTTGAAAAGATCAAACAATATTATCAAACAAAATTTTGTAGAATTGTTGAGTTGTTTCGTTTATTTTCGTATAGGGTTTATTAGATCTTTATCTTCTTCCTTTATTTCATTTTTATATTCTTGTCCTTTTTTAGAATTTACTATAAAGACTTTTTATATTATTTTAATGGAATTTTAATCTTTTCATAAAAAATTAAAAATGAGTTATAAATATTTTATTAAATTTTGTAAAAGACCGTATATCAAGAATCAATTGATATTGTTTTATAAATAGTACTAGAGGACTATTCCTTCCTATCCTTGTTATAAAGTACTTTTAACCATTTTACTGTACAACAAGAAGATATGATTAAATTGTTAAATTTAGAATTTACTATAAAGACTTTTTATATTATTTTAATGGAATTTTAATCTTTTCATAAAAAATTAAAAATGAGTTATAAATATTTTATTAAATTTTGTAAAAGACCGTATATCAAGAATCAATTGATATTGTTTTATAAATAGTACTAGAGGACTATTCCTTCCTATCCTTGTTATAAAGTACTTTTAACCATTTTACTGTACAACAAGAAGATATGATTAAATTGTTAAATTTATGTAAAAATAAAACCTTTTATAGTTAGTAATTTTATTGGGATAATATTAAAACAAATTAATTAATATCTTTTTTTTTATGCCAATCTTTCTTTTGCTGCGAGGCACAACCATCTTTTTAATAGAGGCAATCAATGTAGGCGCATGAAAATTCAAACATTGATTCCCCATGTTATAAGCCCTTCTATTAGATTCAATCCTTATTAGTTAATTAATTGCAATCTCAATAAAATTCATTCATTCTGTCTAGAAGGTGTTTTATTGCATTGGTGACTAATTTGTTACTTATTCTAATCATAAATACACCCTTCATTTTTTATTATAAGTTTTAAATTTTTGAATGAATTTACCCCTTTTTATAAGATTTATTTTAGGTTTGTCTGAACATTAAATATATTTTTACCCATTTTACCTTTAATTAATATACTATTTTTTTTTCATACATTCTCATCGTTTTTCTTAATAAACAAAGGCATATTTAAGAAAAAATATATTTTCTACATATTTATTATTTTTAATAGTTTCTTTTAAATCACTCAATTCAGATATTTAGATCTTCTAATAAGGAACTAGTGAGTATAAAGTTAATTTGAGAGGTTTGATTGAAAAAGAAATGATTTGAGAGTTTTGATTTGGTATTAAATATAATGTTCAATTCATTATTATCTCTCATTAAATATTTTCTTTTCATAACGCCCCTATTTTATTAGAGCTTCTTTATCGCTGAGCATTAAATTTTATTCATTAAATGGCATTGTTATTTTTCTCACAAAAGTATTCCAAATTTTCAACATATTAATTATAAAGGCATAACTACTTGGAATAAAGTGGCACATTAATAAACTTGGTATTTTAGAGACGCTCATTATACTTTTTTTCTGTTTTCAATGTAGTACCTGTATATTTTTCTCTTTTAATTAAATTCTTAACTTCGCCATGTTAGAACCTTTCGCCATGTTAGAACCATTAGGCCTTGTAGAATGATTAATGATACTAACAAGACAGAATTAAAGATAATGCTAATAAAGCAAAATTAAATTATTTAATTAATAGAGAAAAACATATATAAGTTAGAAAACAAAAATTGAAAGAACATATAGCTACCAGAAAAAGCGGTATATCAATTATAAATAACTACTGCCTCCTATCTTTAATATAAAAGTTAATTTAACATTCAATTTTAGTTTAAATATAATATCTAATTCTCAGGCAAAAAAAAAAAAAGATCCTAATTCATTTTGTCTTTTATATTAATCTATTTTTTTAAGGTAGTCAGTTTTGTAGTAGTTACATATATTAAAGGTTTTATCAAATGATAGTTTTAACTTTTAACTAATAATTACTACTGATATTTTAGAAAAAATAACACTTATTTGTTATAAATAACTGATATAATTAATTTTTTAATCTATTCAAATTAATTAATCAACTCTTATATTAAGAAACATAGCTATTATTACATCTATTTTCATATTTTCACCATTAAATTTTTTATCCTTTTTTTTTTTTTGGGCCCTTACCGCTTTAGTGGCAATGAGTCCCAAGTTTATTGGTTAGGAAGGGGACAGGATCAAGTGGCACATGTCTATTTGCCTGTTTCTCGTGTATTCACCCCCAAGCCACAAACTTTACCCCCGCTTATAGTCGCCCTGAGGCCGATGCTCCGATGCGATGCCTAGTTCTTGAAGCATAGTGAAAATTTTTAACATATTTGTTGTTTATGCCGTTCCAAGCTCTCAGGCTTCAGATCCCAAATTCCCAGATTTTCCTCCTCAAGCTTCATTTGTCTCCGATCTCGCGCCCAATCTTCCTTCCCTGGTGCTAGGCTCCCAAAATCATTCCTTCTTCCTAATCTGTGGTGGTCCGTCGTGGTGCCTTTTCCTTCGTGATTCTCGTGCGGTGTTCGATTTGGTCGGTTCCACTCGGCTTCTACTGTTAGGTAAGGGATTCTTTTATATGCTACCACTAAACTTCTCGTCTTGCTGTCCCTCTCAATTGCTGGGTGTGGTGTTGGATTGCAGGGTAATCGAAGGTGACTCTTTGAATCCGAAAGCTTTGGGATTGCATGGTAATGGAAGGTATTGTTTTTGTTCACGGCTATAAATATTTTTGTTACTTTGTTCATCATGTGTGTGTTTTTACGGTTGATGTTCCAACCAGTGTGAACACAGAGTTTGAAACTTCATACATGTTTAAAGCACAGAAGAGGAGAGTTTTCTGTTTAATTTCTCAAAACAATTGGGAGGAACCCTGGTCGTTTGCTTAATGAGAGTGTAAAAAAGTAATCACGCGGGGAAATAGTGAAGACAATAAGGGAATGGTAAATTTGTAACAGTTGCCCACTAAAGGGAATGAGTTGAACGCAATTCACGGTTTGACATTCACATAACTTGTATCTAGAACCCAATGGAGCTTCCAAAGCAATTGTTTTACTTGTCAGTTTCTGTATAAACTTACCTTGAATTATTTGCCAAATGCATGCTCCTATACAATGAAGTATTTAAAAAAAAAAAAAAAAAAAAAAAACAGAGATTGGATTCTTGATGGTTCAGCTTCGGATATCTATTCTAGTTCGAGTTCACATCCTTTCTCAAGGTTAAGTATCCTTAGAGGAACTAGTTTATGCTTGAGAATTATTAAGGGAAGTGTTTGGCCATACTTTAATCTAGTCTGTTCCACGTAGTTTCTGATAAGATTTCATATTAGATTAGTATGACTTTCGGTGCTTAATTTATCATTCAAATCCTTGCGACAAAGAAATAGTTCTTTGGACTACCAAAGTAGGAACCTCGTGAAGTCTTTGTATTGAAAAGAAGCCACGGTATATTTGCTGTGTCTTTGAGATGTTGGTGATACTGGGCTTTACATTTCAGAACGAGAGCTATATGACGCTGCATGAGATTAATCAAAGGCAATAAATACTGTAATATAATTTAGATTTTTTTATCGTTTCAGAATATAATCTGACATAAATATTGGCTTTCTTTTATTATTGTTTCCAGTGAGTTCATGAATGCGCTGTATAAGATATTTTGATTATCTTATGAGGCTTGGTGTTAAATTTTGGAAAAAAGCATTTGCATGTATAGAGAATTATTAACTTTTCTCATTGGTATCTATTCTAGATTAGGTTTACAAATCGGAAGGACAACCTATATAATGTGATCTATCAGAAAGTGGATTCTTTGTGTTTGATCACCCTTTTCTTTGTTTGCTGAAGTGGAGTCTAAATGAATTTAAAAGGCACAGCTTTTCTGATTTCTGCGTGCGTCAGGCTTCGGTTAGTCTGGATATTGTTCCAGTGACTGCCTTAATCCAAATTTCTGTGTGCATTCTGTTCGGAGTTTAACCAGCAGGCCAAGCTGAGAATTGGGGATTTGGGATTGCGTTCCAACCATGAATAATTCAAGTTTGGGAGGTCGGTTTTTATCCAATCCCAGTGGAGGGATGCTGGACCTGGAATCACCATTTCATAGACACCAACACGCCCAGTTGGGTCATCCATCAATGACTAGCCAAAATCAAATGACTATGTTGAGTGGTTTAGAAAAGAGTCACCCAGTTGGACTATTAGAAGTGAAAGGCTCAAATCCAACAGCGAATTTCAGTAAAGGAAAGGCACCAGCTCTCACTATTCCCACTAATAGTGATAATATGAGTGAAGAGGATGAACCAAGTGATGCTGAAGACGCAAACTGTGAGAACTATGATGGTGGGAAGAACAAAAAGAGATCTCCTTGGCAGCGAATGAAGTGGACAGACAATGTGGTTAGGCTACTTATAGGAGTGGTGGCTTGCGTGGGCGATGATGGTACAATTCAAGGCATGGATGGTCATCGAAGAAGATCCGGGTGCCTACAAAAGAAGGGTAAATGGAAAACGGTCTCCAAGATAATGATGAAAAAGGGTTGCCATGTTTCACCACAGCAGTGTGAGGACAAATTTAATGATTTGAACAAGAGGTACAAGAAGCTAAATGATATCCTTGGTAGAGGAACTAGCTGTAGGGTGGTGGAGAATCCTGCAATGATGGATTCAATGCCCAACCTGTCAGCAAAGACAAAGGATGTTGTTCGAAAGATTTTGAGCTCAAAACACTTATTTTACAAGGAAATGTGTGCTTATCATAATGGGCAAAGAATACCCAACTGCCATAATCTTGATCTGCATTCCTATTCTCTTCAACAAGGGAGGGATTCCAGAGACAATGATGATTCAGAGGAGGAAGGTGAGGACTTAAATGAAAGTGAGGATGATGAATTAGATAATGAAGGTAATCATAATGCTCGTGGCGATGCTGAGATAATGGAGGGGTACAGTGGAAAGAACAATAACGACAGTGATGACCGTGGCTGCCCACAATCTGCTAGGGTGGAAAATTTTGAAGCTGAAATGGCAGGTATTTTTCAGGATCCCCTCAAGTCAGGATGGGAACGAAGTCAATGGGTTAAGATACAGATGTTGCAGCTGCAAGAGCAGAGAGTCACCTACCAAGCGCAAGGTCTTGAACTTGAGAAGCAGCATTTTAAGTGGCTAAGATACTGCAGTAAGAAAAATAGGGAGCTAGAGAGGTTGAGGCTGGAGAATGAGAGAATGAAGCTGGAAAATGAGCGTCAAATCTTGCAACTGAAGCAGAAGGGGCTTGACTCAGATTTTAGACGGTCTGAGATGTCCATCGCCCCTTTCTCTATTGGAACTAGCAGAATGCAAGGTGGGGAACAGATGGACTTGGGTAGACAACTGTAGCACATGTTTGGAAAAGATTCATATCCTTGCTTGCTTATTATGTAATGCATGAAATGAAATCCCGCTGTTGAATCTGTTTTATTTTTTGTTGCAACTATTTAAACTTACAGGCTAGGTTAAATATATACTTGCATTTTGACATTGGAAATGACTGATGTTACCATTTGATCTAAAGCATATAATTATGGATCTGTTTGGAATAACTTATAAGTAATTTTTTAATCATGATTTACAAAATACGGAACAAGTATATAAAAAAAGTTTTACTTAAAAGTGTTTATAATCATAATTTCAAATGAGTTTATAGCCATAATTGGAAAGTCCGTTTCAAGACCTGCTAAGTGGACTTTCACCAAATCCCACATTAATGGACATGGTGGACCAGTGACTGACTTGAGTAGGCCTCTTTTTTCAATCTCTCTGTTTTCATCTAGACTCCTCATCCTTTTTCCCTTCGCTATCCTCTTTTTTTCCTTCACAACTATTGGATTAAAATTCTAATAGTTCAGATTTAATATTTTATAACATTTTATAAAATATAAATATTATTATAAAAAATAGATAAATAAATTTAAACTGTTAAAATCTAATTTGAGCAGTTCATAGTTACAGACTAGACTATTATTATAGAGCAAAAAAATTTTTCAATTTTTTTTATCACAGATGTGAACAGTTTAGATTATATTTAACAGTTTAAATTTATTTATTATTTTTTTAATAACATTATTTTTATAAGATGTTAAATTTGGACCATTGAAATTTTGATCAAATGGTTGTGAAGAGAAAAGAAGAGTAGTGGAGGGGAAGAGGATGGAAAGGGTAGTGGAGGGGATCCAAATCCCTCTCATACTGGACTTTAAAACATGTAAATAATTTTTAAATATTTTAAAAACTGACCTATTGTAGTATTTATAAAAGTTAAAAATTATGTTTTTTAATAGTAATTTTAAATTTTAAATTTTACAATATATTAATAATTTATTATTTTTAAATTTTGATTATTTTTAAAATTTAAACAAACATTTTAAAAATTTTTGAAGTGAACATTTTTCCCCAAATATAAGTAGGTTTTTTCTAAAAATTTTAAACACGAGGCCTATAACTTATCATTATGATAAAGTAAAAACATATGCACGTTTATCATTTTGACGCACATATTGACTAGTTTAACAGTAATTTTTTAAAATGTATTTCCTAAGTAAATCAGCAATTAATAATTATTGATTAAACATACACTTTCACTCTCCCAATATAGTTAGCTTTGTGATAGAGCAAATTTGCTGACCATGAGCGACTTGTCGACATTCCCCTTTTTTTTTTTGGGTTTTTTTGTTAATATCATCACAACGTACTTGAGAAGAAATGAAACTCCTAAACAACTGCAAAAATCTAAAACAGTCCCACTTAACGCCTAAAATAGAACAAGGAAGCCCAACGTGATCAGCCATGAGTACGGAAAAGTTCCTATCTTCAACTTGAACAGACACGCCATAAGAAGGGGATTGAACAAGACCTTGATGCTTTTGTCCATTCCTTTCTTCTTGGCTTGTTGAAAGGTGCAGACAGGTTCTTCCTGGAAAAACAGAAAGACACAAAAATTAGTAATCATAGTACAGCCTACTTGTTTTCCTAACCTTTTCATATACTATCAGCCAGTCCTGCAAGCAATTGTGACGTACATCCCCATTTAGCCAACTGCTTCAATGGTCTTACATTAAAATCGATCATTTGAAGGACTATGATTGGTAGAGGAATTGTGAGGTAACATTTTACTTTGTTGAAAATAGTTTTGATGAGTCGGGTCCCAAAAGTTCATCAGAGTTGAGGCATGCTTTTAGATTCAAAGAATATTTATAAAGATATTTACAGATCGCCTAATAATAAGGCTGTACATTTGCAGCAAAATTTAAACTCACAATTGATAAGAATTTAGAGGATAATTCTGTCAATTATCTTGCATGACATTTGACTTGCGAGAGGCATATGTGAAACAGCACATATAAACGATCTTGTTTGAGAGGGCTTCAAATTAAATCATTTTGTTTTTATTTTCTATGTAACTTTATGATTTAATTTAAAAAGAGTCATTTTGTACTTAGTAGATTATTAGGAAGATTTGACATATCTTTTATATATTTTGAATTATCCTAAGAGTATTTAATTTTATTAACAGTTCATCTTATTTTAGATTAGGATTTATTTTAGAAATCTGAGTTTCCTAGGGATTTCAAGGATAGTATATAATACTTCCTTTGTTCTATAACATAAGAGTTAGTTGACTTTAAGTAGATTAAAGAAACTGGTTAAATTAATTGTTTGTAATAAATAGGTGTTGTCTTTCCTAAAATATCCTTACTAATCAAGCATATTGGCTAGAATTACCATTGTTACAAGGACTATCTTAGAAAATAATAGATAAATGTGAGAGACAAAACAGACTAGGATCTTATATTTTGGACCAAAATAAAATCAGACAAATTCTTATATTAAGGACCAGAGAGAGTATCTTATTATATCATTGATTTAAAATTAAGATAGATTCTTATATTAAGAACCAGAGATAGTATCTTATTATATCATTGATTTAAAATTAAGATAGATGGCATATCTTTATAATATTTATTTTAATCTTTAGAGTCCAATTAGTGTTAGAAGCTTCACCTATTTCAAAAGTCGCTTGTATTCAGTTATGATAAAGTAATCATGTTACGATGTCACTTTTATAAAAAAGTTCTTTTACACTGGTTAAAATAAGCCTTTAACACTAACAATATAACAGGTGTTAAAAGTCCCTACTTTCTACATTGGCGGGGTAACTGGTGTAGAAAATGTTGCTTTGGACATCGGTTGTGATACCAACCAGTGTAATTATTGGAAATTTAAATAAAAAAAAGGTCCACTTCTTTGATTTAAGAAGTTGACATATGCTGCAAGCACAATTCATACTTAAATTTCAATCCAAGTCCTCTTAAGCTAGAGATAAAGCAACAAAAAAAAAACTAAAAGAAAAACGAAGTATGACACTAGTTATTAACAACTAAACTTTGAAAAAACAAAGTCTAATGCTAGTTATTAACAACTAGCAAGTTAACAAAAAAAAAAACAATCGTAAATGCACAAACAACAACATTAATAGCAAAAATGAACAAAGGAATGAATTACCTAAGTTGAGAGGGAGTGCATCACGTGATCGACAGTAAAAACTCCACGACCTCAACTCACTTCTCGATTTCAGTTCCTTTATCTTCTCTTAATGACAAGAAAAGATACTTGAATAGAGGCACAAAGGAGGAATGGAAGTTGCATAATCATAATAAAGGAAAGAACAAACCCCGTGACGTTGATAGCGACAATAAATATCTTCAACAGAACGAGCACAAATATTAGGGTTTTGGGCAATAGGTTAGAGGAGAAATGAAATGGCGATGATGTTAACTGCAGTGAGAATATAATGATGATAGTAATGGGGACGAACGGCCACAACAATGGCAATGGAAGAGACATTGTGAGCATTCGACAATGTCCCACCACAGCTTAAGAGGAGAGAGCACATATAGAGAGTGTTTTTTGAGGCTGTGAAAGCAAGTGTGGGAGAGCCCTTATATAGCCAGGGCAAAAGATTTACCTGAGTTATACCTAGAGACCAATGTTGCATTTACATATTACATTGGACACAATAGAGCCGATGTAAATGTTTGTTACTAAATTGGTTTCCATCACAACTAGGGTCAATTTTATTCAAACAAAACTCAAAAAATTACCAATTTGCGTTCTTTAGACTAGTAAAGTTTTAGGGTTTGTTATTACTAGAGTTAGACATTAGTAAAATTAAAAAAAAGGACAATAATAGGAAATAAAATTGACAAATTAGATCACAAAATAGCTATATATATTATATATGAGATGGGGGCACATAGGCCCTTACAAAATATTTCAAAATAGAAAAAAGATTACATTTTTTATAGAAAAAACAACTATTCCTTATTAGTTAAAGGAATAGGAGGGGAGGGGGCTTTATTGGAGGAGCAGGAGGAGGTGCTAGAAGGGTCATCCAAAACGCATACCTAATGTCCTGGTCATCAAGCAGGAGGTTGACTTTGTTGTTGAGGGCATAGGAGTTAGAAAGCATGGTGAAGACCATGCTCAATAGCAGCTACTTTTGCAGTAGCTAGTTCAATGAGGGAGGTGAAGGAGCTGGAGGTGGAGCAGGAAGGGGGGGGGGAATGTGGAGAGGGAGGATGGGGAGGCAGGGGAGGTGGAGGAGGAGGGAATAGAGGATGTATTGGGAGAGTTCTCTACTATTTCACCATTGTGGGGCTGGTGGTTGAATATAATGACAATGGTGGAGAAAAATAGTTGAGTTTTGACCTCAAATAGACAATGATAGGATATGGTGGCCCTTCAAGTTAGATATGTTACTTTAGTGGAAAGAAAACAAAAGAGGCTCATTTGTTCAGTTCAAACATCAATTGTTTATAATAACCATTGTTTTGAAAGATAAGTTACATTGGTTGGGTTAATGCCCGTTATAAATAATAAGGATTACATTAGTCGCACTCATAATTGGTGTAGATATTGTAATCGTTATTTACAGAAATACTACCACCTTATTTGCTACATCGTTGGCACACAAATTGGGGTAAATAAGATGATGTAAAAAATAGTTTTTCTAGTAGCGTGTTTTTATATTTGTGATAGAATACGATTAGGTTGCAAGAATTCAACCAACTCTTTGTGGAGCCTTGATCAACTTTTATTATTTTCAAGTATCTTTTATTTCGTATTCTTCAGGTTCTTAGAGGAATTCCTATCATATAGTGTGGCGAAATTTCAAAATAGCAAACTAGAACCCTGTACCATTTTGGAATTTTTATATATTGCCAAATGATGTCACTATCCTATACTTTCGATGACTACTTTTATTTTGGCTATTCTAGTTTCATTATTGACTACTTTTCTTTTTATAGCTCTAGTACTCTTGTTTAGTTATTGACCACTTTAGTTTTCATATTGGCTACTTTTGTTTCCAAAACTTTAGAGACTACTCTTGTTCAACTATTTAGTATTCTAGTTTTGCTATTGACTGTCTTGTTCTTCAAATGCAGTAATAGGAGTAGTAAATAGTTAAATAAGAGTAGTCAATAGATCTCTAGAGTTCCTAATACATTTTTTGAATTTTTAAAGTAAAGGTAGTCAAAAACAA